CATGTTCAATTGATAAGCAGTTTTGAGATTTGGCAAATGTTGTGCGATGAGAGCAAGGGATTAATGATCATGATAATAGGATTTAGACTGGAATAAGAAGAGGGTGGAATTGAAAAAGGAGGAAGATGTCTCCACATTCTGATATAACACTGATGCGATTGATAGATCATAAGATGTGTACAGCCTGATACCAATCTTTTCCACTCATCTTAACATCAAAAATTTGTGTAAACCGGAAGGAAAGCAGGTGGGCAATTATCACAAAATTTGCATTCCGTTCAAAATTTGTGGAATAAACTATTCCAACGAAAGAACCTTCTGCCAACTCAAATTTCTCTTTCACAACTTAAATGAAATATGAATTGATATGAATGAAAGTTTTAACGTCCATACATTTCGTCAATGCTAAGAAAAAATAAACTTTGATATGACTAAGATTTTATACATTGAATTATGATGAGCATATCTTTGAGATTAAAGATATGTCAAAAGAAAAGTGTTCATTTTGAGGATTCAAATGTAGACAATAAGGCAGGAAGATTAAGTAGACTGAAGAATACGGTGACAGGTATTATGAGGTCAATATTTAATCTTAGCTCGAGACAAAAACACTGGAAGACCAATGGAAGACCAAGGAACAATCACTGGAAGACCATTAACGAATATAGGTTATTATGTGTTTCGATTTTCCCTCTCATTTTAAAACAATTTTACCATCAGAAATGAGAAGTTGGCAACAGATATAGACAAGTGTTATTTTAAATTTGAGTATATTAGATTAAGAAAATTAGTCTTACATTTAAAAATGGATGAATAAGCTCCGACATTACTTATTGGAAATAGAAATGCGGTCGAATTGAATTGCATTAAATTTAAATAAAAATTTCAAAATGCATAAGCATTTAGTCCGTACAGCATATCGCAGCAAAAACTGCTGAATGCATAAGATTGAAGATTTAACACCAAAAAGTATCAAAGTGAATTTTCAAGCATTGATCAAACGGGCCGTTATAACAATAAGGTTTAATGGGGTAATTATTATCTGTAAATTCTAATAAAAAAGAATTAAGTATTGCATAGATTTTTGATCAAAAAAAAAGGAAAAAGTTGATTCAGTCGTAAAACATTTCATTCTACAGAACTTTTATATCACAATGATATATTTTACACTAAATGTTTTTACCTAAAAATTTTATATTTCTTTGTTTGACGTCATCAAATTTCACTCTTATTAACATACATTTCATTCTTGAATTTAGCCTATCAACATGAATAAGTTCAACGATATGAACATTTGATAAATTTCTGCTTGCTTTGATATTTTCTTGTTTCATTATTGACAAATAAAATTCAATGATAAGACTAACTATGGGAAATTGCGACCATAAGAATATGTCTAATGCAAAGAAATTCAAATGATCAAGACATTCTTGACTGTAAATTCGAACCTGAAATATTTTCAGGAGTAAGAAGTAACATTGGTAACTGAGAATAGGTAAACTGGAGACAGTTTTCGAAGATCTGACATTGTGTATTATATTGTATTGTGTTGTATAAATGTTGAGAATTGCAAAGGCTCCTTTATTTTTAACAATTTTTAAAGTTCTAGGAAAATTGTAAGTACCATGTTTATAAATCCTTGACATATAATACTCAATGCCTATACTTTGGCATCCTTCAAAATTTCACCGGTACTTCAGAAACTTATAGATTTACCGGCATCAATTTTCTTTTAAACGCTTAAAGCTACATTTGACTTATGTAAAACTAACATAACACAGAAAGACTTTTTCAAGGTTAATAATTTAATAAATAGAGTAAATGTAGCAAAGTGGCCTCAATCATGCCTTACAAAAATTATACGGTATTGCTGAGTTATAAGACCTGTCTATCAGTTACTGTATTGTCATCTCTTTATTTTAATAAATTATTGTTCTCAATTATATGGTCATCACTGCTTTAAAAAATTTCCCAAATTTCGTTTTAAAAAAGAAATTGTGAAAATTTTCCAAACTTTCTAATTGAAGTTTTTTATAATTAAAATTACATGTTGTTTTTCAATCCATTCTGTTCCATCTTCAGAAATCTTCAGTTCTACATCTTGCTGATGATTAGAAATTGAGATAGCAGTGATCATTGTTTTGAAAGAAAATAATTTTTGTGCGGCATGAACAAAAAAAAATATTAATTAGCGCTTTGCAAGTAAATTAATCTTAAATCAAAGCTTTAAAGGATAATTTAAAAATTATTGGCACAAGTATGAAACTGTCAATCACACTACTTATCGTACTAGTTACGGATTGTTTTGCGTGGTCAATAAATGTAAGTCATCTTTTTGAGAAGTCAAAAGAGAAAAATAGAATGATTTGGATCGTTTTAGAGATTCTCACTTTATTAGTCATGGAATTGTTAAATTGTTTGACCCTTTTTTGACCTATGTAAAGGTCTACACTTTATTTTATAAACTAATAAGACCAATTGCAGACTGATCGAACGGATAATGGTTTGCCAGTCGAACGGCCAAGTAGACTTTATCAGACAATGCTACTTAAATCAAAGCGTAGTCGTAAGTGATTCTCTAATAATTAGCACTTCCAATTATAGTCTGTGTGATGAAAGTAACTTAAGAAAAATTCTTGATCCGCCAAAACACCATGTTTCAGCTTCTACTACTGCTATAAGGTTTCATTTATTTTTTAGCTGCTATGGTATAAGGTTGATAATATCATTTAAAATATTTTGACATTATAGTACTTAAATTTCAAATAACAAAAGTTATGAAATCAGTCGAGAATTTCAGAGTGTTAAGTTTTAAGCTATTAGTTAAGGTTGGTTGAGCAAGTGAAAATGTGAAAAAGCGAATGAATTTTTTTCATCTAAAAGTTTTTAGCTATTTTATGACTCATCCATCAATTTATAATATTAATAAACGGACATCTATCGAAAATTAAATTTACAGCAAGCATGGGCTTATCATTAGCGGAATACATGGCAAGTCCCCAAAGTCATGATAACTTCCATTTTATACCAATCATTCGTCGTTGAATAATTCAATTGATCGGCATTCAACTTACCTATGATCAATTTTGTGATATGATGAGCAAATCGTGCTATGCGATGGATAAGTGAACAGCATATGAGTTATAAATATTCCAATTGACTTTATTAATTTCATCCCAAAATTTAAATTTTATTCGAATTTACCAAATTTTTTTCTTTTTTTTATTTTTTTTGCTTGGAGAAATTAGACAAACTACTTTATGCGCAATATGTTGTTTGCATTCTCTAATTATTTCATCCTTATGGTTTGTTTTGCGGATGTGAATGGTGGTGATTAATTTTTTGTTGTTGTAAACAACACTTTGTAAAAATTCCTTTTTCAACACATTATCATCTGATTTCTATAACCAAAGGTAATATTACTGTAGAATAAATTATTCGTTATCATTTATTATGATGAATTACTCCAAAATCATTGATTGCTGAGAAGGAATTAATGAAAAATAATTGAACTTTCGAGGAATTCACAAAAATGTTTAAATTTACGAAATTTTTGCAAAATAAAATTTGCTTCATCTTTTCATTCAAACTAATCAATCGATGACATATGTGGACAACACTTTTTTTTTCTAAGCTGTAAAGCTACCAGCGAAAAAAGGAAAGATTTTAATGATGCATATATGTGAAGAACAAAATTATGGTGGATATAGTGTAGTCCTCAACCAGAGTTGAATAAAGTTAAGATAGAGGAAAGAGAAGTAAAAGACCTCTTTGTAAAATTTATTTTTTACAAAGAGGGATTTGAAGAGTAGAAGCGATAGATACTTTGTTATTGAGAAAGTGTAAGATAAGAGTTTGAAATTTATTGAGAAATGGGAACTGATCGTTTTTTGTCCAACCCATCTTCAAGATGATTAATATTTCGTTAGCTCATAAAAAGCAAATGTTTATCCAAATGTATCATAATAATTTCCAGGAGAACAGATGTACCTGTTATGCATAAATCTGCATTGGTTTTGTTGACATGACCTGATTAGCTATGTGTTCTCGATAGTACGGCGACGTAGGAACGTTGAATATTGAAATCATTGTAAAATGAAAAACGTAAAATAATTTCATATATGAAAAAATGAAAAAATGGGAGAATAAATTAGATATCATCATAATCATTACACGGTGGTACAAGTAAGCTTGGCGTGATAACGTGTCCATACGAGTATCCTTCGATTTCATTGAATACCGAAATGAAGTCAATATCAAATGTGCGGTACGTTTTCGGTAGACGTATCATCACATCCTCACCGTTATAATTTCTTAACGGTTGTTCACTGAAAATTTGCCAAATATTCCATATGAAATAATTTTCAATAATTTATAGTAACATTTGATAAGGTCAAGGTATTAGCTTATGTTTGATCACAACGATAGTGATAACACATGAAAGCTTGTTGCGATTACTAATGAATAAGCTAAAAGTTTAGACTATAACACATTAATGTATTAAGTGTTCCGCACTAAGCTTTTCAGAAAACGTAATGCTGGATTTACTGCAAGTCTTGATTAAACTTCTCTAATTCACAAAATCTCATGTAACATTTCTAATTGAGACAAGAACTAACGGTGGTTGCCCAACAACATAGGCGCGTACTTGTTTTTCGATTCTATCCGGAAAATGGCCAATACCAGCATAGAAATATGTTTCTGAAATCAATGAAGAGACAATATTAAGTTGCGATGAATTCTGTTGGATTAAATTGAATAAATTCACCGAAGATTACAAACACAGCAAAAGTTTTCTCAAATCAAACAAAGACTATCCGGAAATCCTGCTCCCTTTTCAGTTGCTTCAACAACAGACCCATCAAAGGCAAGATACACGACAGGAAGAATAAAGGCGAACTAAAGGAAGGGAAAAACTGAAAAACATGGGTAACAATTCCTGAAACCCATGAATTGAAAATACCCGTAAGATTGAGATTGTCTATCTCGCGAAGTTTGGGTAAATAAAAACCTGGTGGATCGTCTCCTTGATTGAATACAAAACCTGGTATGAAAATTGTATTGCAATTCAAAATCTGCACACGATTTGATGTAACGTTGTGAGAATGACCCAATAGCGCACCAATTTTCTCCTCATGCGGTGGATCAATTCCTTTTAGTGATAGCAGCGGAATTGTTCTCTTTAAATGATTTTTTATTAAAGCTGATAAGACATTGATTCACATCCCAAAATTACGAAGACAAGAAATTTACTCTTCTAGAAAGTCATGAACTAATAATATTTGCCTTATCAGCTTTAGTAAAATGAAATTATCTAAAGTTTTAATAAATAAGCACTAAGAAAACTTCGATTATCAATAAATCAACAAAAATAGCTCTAATTACTGCAATTTTTTTTTTGTCGACTATGTGCAAACAGCGAAAATTAATTTTGTCATAAAATTAAAAAAGGGAAAATTAATGGGCAGACTTGTGAACAATGGTCACGTAAAGCAATCCATTGATATTCCGTTATCTTTGCATCGTTTGTAATTGAAAATACGACTGTTTTATCCTCAATCAACGGTAACTCAAAGCGACGATCGATGTGTGCTTTGAGACGAGGCTCAGTTGTTGTAACTGTTGTCGTTGTTGCTCTATGATCCAAGTTATTTTCGTATTTATTCTTAAAATTCGAAATTATCTTGATTAAAATAAAAGCTAATGCTTCATAGCCTAAAATAAGCAAACCTTTTTTCTAAACTCCATGCGTCTTCTCTTTTTCAGTCTGGGATCTTGAATGACCCAATATAGCGGTGTTGTTTCCCTGAACAAAGGCGTCGTCGTAATTGCAGCATTTTGTGTCGATACGAATGCTACACCTCCATCTGTTTCGAAGAATTTATCCGATAATAAATTGTCACCTGTCGCTGATTTACCTTCATTATCTGTAGATACGAATAGATCTCATGTGTTTTATTAGAAGAGTTGATCATTTGCCTTACTATACGTGCAATATCGATTGGCTCCACTTACTTCTTAGATCAGTTTGGACCAAATCATACCAACCACAATTATGACAATACCAGTTAACTACTGACTTTATAGTTCATCGATTGGATGATAGTAATGAATCATAAATGAAATTTTAGAACCAAAAGTTACTTTCAAAATTCAATAAAAATAAAAATTCACTACGGATCACAAACATACCTTTAATACTTTTAAATCGCTTTTCCGCAGTTGGTTGTTGCGGCGATTTTATGAGCCATTTTTCAGGCATAGCTTGACCAAGCATAACTGGAAATCCTTTGTCCTTAGTTTTTTCAGCCTTCTTTCCATGATGTGCCACTAACTTTTCCTGTGATTCCTAATATGTATGGATTATGAAATTCAAATAAAAATAACTGCAGAAGAAAAGAGAAAAAAAAGCTCCAATATCCTGCAAATTGTACGACACGACCGTTTATTTCCACTGATTCCACTGATATTATTATCGTCCCATAAATTAAACTTAACCTGAGGTAAGTAATTAGCTACCTGCGTAAGTGGATATGCATCTCGTTCATACGAAAAAATTCCATCATTTCCTAATCTTTCATTACTATCACCATTTTTGATAACATCCTTAATTTCATCATCAGTTTTTTCTTCTTCTTTGTTTCTAATGTCATATTCATTCCTTCCGGTTATTGTCACCAATCTTCTGAAACAAAAAACTTGAGATTGAGAACTTGAGATCATAAACCGTAGAATAGTGACGTTAAAAAATCTTGTGTGAGTTTTTGAATTTTCAAATTTAAAATTTAAAAGAAAATTTTCTTTGGATTTTTAAGTTTTAAAAAGTTTTTAAAATTTTATAACTGCAAACAGTAGGACATAATCGTTGAAAAATATTTTTGAAAGATAATTTTTTGTCATCTGATTCTTCAACTCGTTGTATTTCGTTAAATAATGCATACCATTTATACTTATTTCAAACTTTCGATTACTTCATAAAAATGTTGGCATTCATACAACAAATACTCACTTCAAAGCATCATTTATGGGAATTGCAGTCTCCAATCTGTCACCACTTTGAAATTCAGGATCAGTATGGAAATCTTCATTTTCACTCCTTGTCGATTTGATACTATCAGACGTTAATTCTTCTACTGACCGTAAAAAATCGTAATTTTTTTAAATAAAAAAGTGGGGAAAATCAAATAGACATGCACTACTTGATACTTTGTGAGGATTAACAAGATATTAGTTAGTCTTCGATTACTTAAAATCATATTTCCAAAAATCGGTAAAATCCGACGTTAGTTTTAATCTAACTATTATATTTATCATACTAACCATTATTTTATTTTATATATATATTAATCTAAGCATTATTTATCGAAACTTGATTTTCTCCTCTCCTCTATTACCTTTACCTGGCTTATCTCTCCTGTTAGCCTCCTGATCATTTCTTTCACTG